AGCCGGCGCGCGCGGACCGTCGGGGGTCGAATCCGCAATTAAGGCGAAACATTATATAACGATCGCAGTCGAGGGGTGGAGCACACGGCGCTTGGCTCGGCGACTCTTGTCCGCGGAAATTAGCGACCGCTTAAAAATCGCGACACAGCCAATTAATCACAGGGCGGTGTCGCGAGATGCGCGCGAAAACCGGACCCGTGTCGCTGCTGTTTCGCTAATAGGAAATTTCGTAACGCTCGTTTGGCCGCTCTCGATCGCTGTTTACTTTAATCGATTATTTTGTCGCAGTGTTCGATACAGCTTTATTTCGTTGGTAACTCTCGAGGACCCAGTTATAATCCCGAAAAGAGGGATTGTTCGTTGAATAACCTATTGAAAGCTGCAATTTGTGATATGAATTGTTAAATGGAAAAGATTCGCTTATTGGTAGGATGATATTTATTTCGTAAAGTTTTAGTTATGATTCTGGATAAGATTTAGGAACAAGTAGATTGGACATGTTTATGCATTTACGGAGATATTTCAAGGTGCAAAAATATACAGAATATACACATACATGTAGGGTAAAATTATTCAGTGCATAAAAAAGATTTCTCCTTCAGTTCCATTTCTTCGATTATATTCATAAAAATATAAGTCTACATAAATTTGTAACTTATTTATAACAATCTATAGGGAATATTTGCAGTTGATATTTTCTGCTTATATCTTACTCTTCTTTTCTAAACAAGTTGTAATCTCTAAAAGATAATTGTTTGTTAAACGATCCATTGAAAGCTACGATTTGTAATACGGATTGTCGAATGGAACTGTTCATTCGGAAGAACTCATAGCGATGGTTAAGATTTTAAGGAAATTCTGAGAAAATATACAGATATTTCGTGACGTTTAATAACGCGATACCCTAGTAGAATATGTAATTCCACGATACTCTATTTTACATATCAGATACAACTGACTGAGAAGATTCTATCCCTGTAATAAATATACACGACGAAATTTTCCTCGTTATAGACATTCTCATCGCCATCGATATGAAAGTTACAGCTATAAATAGTTACAGTTAAAGCTATAAATTAAATATTCATATACCGAATGTACGGATGTTTCTTCTTCGCATAAAAGACGCAAATATTAAAAATACACAACGCTATAAATACGTTAATTAAAATCATGCACGTGCACGAACCATGCATAAACAGCTATCGCTAAATAAAATCTCGCCGCTTCTATGCAGCAAGCCGGTGGTTTCTCTCAAAGACGCTAACTTTAAACCACAACTTTGCGATGCTAACTTTGGTTTTGCATCGTTCACCGCGTTTGCCGCATAGCTGCGCGATACAGACTTTCCCGGACGAGATTTAGGTTACTATAAATATGAAGCTTATGATGTGACTTAACCGACCGACCAATTTCATTAGTCCGGAAAATTTTCGGTAAGAGCCTGACTACGTTAATCTACGCTATACGTGTCAGGTTAGTTTTAACTAGATATTAAGGCGGCCAAATCGATAATCCAACGATAAGATATTAAATATGTCACGAACAAGTAATCTCACGTACGACGGTCAATTTTCCAATTTAATCGTGAAACATCATCATGACGATTGTCTCGAAGCGATCAAAAAGGAAGTTCCTGTTAAATAATTCAAATAAATCGGAAATACGAGTCTCTCTAATCATAGAAAGATGGAAGATTTCGCGGTGGTTCTATCTGAAGTAGCGTCACCGACTTCTACTTGAACCAATATGCGCTTTTACCGCAATTCACATTTTGTTCTCTATAGAACAAAAAGGTTTCTCTCGATTAAATCGACATTCATAGGACGTTTCATTTACCACTCGCGAGTGACAACGTTTCTATAAATTGTACATTATTAAGTTGTTTAAATCGCACGAAATTTAAAGACTTTTTATTTCGTTTTTCGCGTTTCGGCATTTCTGGGTTAAAAGCTCGATAATTATCGGATTTTTACACTGAGTCAGGATGCTGTTCAAGTCGAGCAATCAATACACTGCCATGCAAGCTGCCGTGCATTCGATATATCGCGGATGATTTTTGAAAAAAACGACTACAGGAGGGATTGGTGGGAAAGAGACGAATAAATTTGACAAGAGGAAACGATCGCGATAGGAAAAATACATGGTCTTTTTCAGCTCGATGCATCATATACCAAGCACTATCGAATCGTGCGTCGTCGTTGAAAGAGCCGGCAAAAACATCGTGACTCGTATTTTTGGTCTGCCAGTTTTTCAGCGATGCGTAAATTTCAAATAAAATTGTGCCACCAATTGAATCCGCCAGAAGAATGCGCAATGAATTTCGTCAATTGCGATTTATCGTCGCGCGAGTTTTTAAACGTGTGACGAACGGGATGAATAAAAGAGAGGACCGTGAACGGTAGATAAATTTCCCTCTTTTCCCGCTATTTTTTCCCTCTTTTTTTCGCATTTTTGTCTGTGGAAAACAAAAACGTAACGCGCGACCAAAGTAACAATCGATTAGTAGAGTTTCCTGTGAACCGTGACAACTCTATGTAAATTATTGTCGGATTAAAATCTCTCGCTTTTAGCTTTAGATAGTTTCAGTTGTTACTCCTTTATTTCTTTTGAAACGAATCACTCAATTTTGACTCTAATAAATGATGGAAGTAGCGAGTGCTTTCAGAGTGCTTTCAGAGAATGATTTAAACGAACGACGATGAAAGAGGTAAATTTTGGGAACGGTATGAAAGATTCAAAAACGTGGAGCAAACAAACAACATAATTTTAGACTTTCTTTTCGACAGCATAATATTCATTTACAGACGAATGCGAATGAATTTTTCCTTTTACTCTTGGCAATACGTCCGGGAAAATATCTTGCTCTTATTTCGATACTGAAAGAAGGAGCACCGAGTCTAGAATATTTCGAAGAATTTTCAGGAGATTGGTTTTCATCGATGAGTTCTACTAGTCTCTATCCAATGTTGTTGCAATCTCTTTTCTTTCATTCGGATTGTACGAATTCCGTGATATTATCGATTTACCAATATCTCGAATCTTCATTTTTAATCGTCCATCTTCATTATCGTCATTCTTGGTCAACGTGGAAATTTTTCAATACCAACTTTTCTCGTTCTTTCATTAATAACTTATAGTTGCAACATTAATAATTGCTGCTGAGAAAAAGCAGCGCAAAAATGTACCACAAAAGGAATTCTAAAAATATAATCAAGAAAATGCGAGCAAAAGATAACAAAAGAGTATGGAAAGAAATGTCGGCAGTAAACGTAAACAGCGCCGTAAAGGGGATAGAAGGAAACGCAGGCAAAGTTCCTACAAGCGAAAATACAAAAGACAGACTCCAAGATATTCTTGAATCTAACTAGCCGAAAAGAGTTTTAAAATATTCTAGGATTCGCAGGATTCTAGATTTTCGTAGAAATCTACGTTGCTGGTGCAAAAATGTGGCACGATATATAAGACTAGTAGTACAGGATTATTACAGGATGCGAACTGCTGCTGAAATTTCCCTCTTTTTTGCTTAAAACAAATTTTCTCCGTGTATTTAGTTATAATACCTTAATACCTTGATAAAACAATATATAAGTTACTCTCACGAAGGAAAGTGACTGGAATTTCATGAATACTCATGCACCTAGATTGTGCAACGTTGCAAGATCTTCAACGTTCTATTAAGCAGCTTGTTACGAAAAAATTCCATAAGATATGCAATTCGATTATTTGGAGGAAAAACAACTCAGAATTGTGTATTATTTTAGGAAAATCCTAAAGCGCTTTTATCAAAAATCCAACGACGAAGGTAGGAAAAACTTCGGTACAGGTTGAATTAAAAAAAGATTTTCTATATAATCTACGTAAAGAATCAAAGTAATCGGACGTTCTATATACTACGATTTAATATATACATCCCTCTTTTCTACGAAGTTAAAAAATACCAAGATAATTAATGTATCGATCGATTCTACTATGCTATTAAAAAATTATTAAAGCGATAAAACATTGTTCGCGTGCCTCCCTTTTACTTTCGTATGAGACACGTGTCAGGCGTCATGTTTATGGCTCATTTCCGCAAAGTTGATGCGAGCGGAATAAAGAACATCTTATCGTATTCACGCGCTTATGATTGCAGGTGACGATTGCCGGACGATGTCGCTGACAGCTTTATAACGACACTGGAAAATAATCCGCGCTCTCCTGGATCGACTACACCGAGCTGTTTATTATTCCAACCGACTCCCAGTGACAGACCTGCGAATAAAGGCGATCCCTGAATACGTTTTTAGATTACAGATTACATCGAAAACGATTTGCACGTCGTTTGCAACTGCAACCAGAATGTTTGCCGAAAATTAGATTATCGCTTAAATCGAGTTCAGTTTCCTTGAGCTCGATTGAAATATCGATAACGCGTCGGAAAAATAAATTGTTTATTATTTATCGATGTAAGCGTCCGGCTGTTAAGAAATTTAATTATTTTGCATAGATAACAAACCACGTGTTCCATATTATATGAGTAGCGACGAAAGTGTGTGATTTTTAGACCACAGACAGGCAGGATGCTTGAAAATTTATCGAGAGTGGCATTGGAAAAAAGCGGCACCGATTAACGTGAAACCTTAGACGACAGACAGTAACCGAAAACCGTGAAACACATGTTCGATTCTCACAGCTCCATTTTTTCGAGGTTGATACCGCTCGCTACCAAGTTGTATACGCAGTCTGGTTGGAGTACACACGATGGTTTCGAGTGTTCGTCTACAAACAAAATCCGGTATGACACGCCATAAGCTATTGATTTCAATGGGGGTGGAGTTTCGGAGGGGGTGTACGTACAGTCGTGAATTAACGTTTGGTGTATCATCCGCGTATCTTATTGTAAAATAATCAGTGTGCCAACCAGTGTGTTACATTTAAATAAAAAGGTGATACAGGTGTATTTTTGCAAAAACTACAAGATATTATATATAAGATGCTTGTTTTCGTATAAATTATCAATCTTTGAAACCACCCCACGATGCTTCTCATATTTTTCTCAAATCGAAGATTCGTCGTTTGCATTATCTTTTCAACGAAGACCGCGTACGCACGATCGAAAGTCAAATTGATCAAATATATTTTCTGACAACTTTATAACACAAATTTTTTTATACATTTTATAATACGTGATGAAGCGGAATACGTAATATGGCGCTTAGTATTTAATATTTTAGAAAGCAAACCAATAACTAACAATAACAAAGTCGATTAGTTCGACTTCTACGTATACATCATACGTGTCATACAAAACAATTTGGAATTTCATTGATAAAGAGAGCATTTAATCGGGCAATAAGTGATCGTGCAATTCGATCTTTTCGCTAGTAAATTATTTTTATCTCGGCAAAAAATCAGCAATATATTGTACTCGTAATTGGCTAGGAGAGGAATCAGCGAGCCTGCTTGGACGATGGTAAATTAGAGACGAGACGAGGACGTTATCGCGAGCGCGGCCAGATCGCTTTCCACATCGACGAGCTCTTATCGTTCTTTGCCGGCAGAAAGAAATTAGAATTCCTACTGGAAAATCAGGGAAGATTATCGTCGGGGGAGGGTGGGCCTCTGACTGGTGGAGGAAAGAACGAAAGAACGAAAGAACGAAAAAAAAAAAAAGAAGAGGAAAATGTATGAATGAAGAGAGAGGGTGGTTTGGTGGTCCCGTTGGGGTGGGGGCGAGCAGAGAACCAGGGAAATAGGCACCAACTTTGTCGCGTCTTTTTGCAAGGCCAAAGGCACGTACGAGTCTGAATATATTAACGAAGCCGCGCGCTTTGACTCACACCGGCCGCGGCGCGTAATTTTTAATTACTAAAAAGAACCATGCCTCCACCGAACGGTCTTCTTCCGTCGGTAGCCGCATTCACGGATATCCCGTGCCCTCGTATATATCGCGTGCCGCGTGGTCTCGCCTCTACATATGTACGTGCACAAGCTGTACGCGACGCAAAGCGAATACGAGCGTGCACAGAAGCGACTTTTTTTCTGCGATTCGCTGTCGAACACGTATCCGCGTTCGTTTCCGGCTGTCTGAGCGCGCGATAACCGAACCGGTGCTGAAACTGTAGCCCCGGAACATGATAATTGATGCAGCTAATTCATCACGTCGCCAGCCAACGCTCGAATTCTCGAATCATGGAAATAACCATTGGTCAGGCGTATTTTTGCACCAGGAATTGGCAGCTCGATGAACGTGAGAAACAATTCGCGATAACGATCTGTCGAAATTCGATGTGACCGCTGAGCTGATTTTCATTTTTTTACTTACTCTTGTACGTGATACAGATGCCCTATTGTATGATATGTATACGTGTAATTATTTTGACGGAAAAGAGCAACGCTTAAATGTAGTTTCTGAACGTTTCTCAACATTTGGCACCAACGTAGATAATTAGCGCCCAATTTTTCTTAGAACGCAAAAAATTAATCTCGATGACGTTGATAAATTTAGCTTTGGAGTGACAGGCACTTGCATACAAATATACAGCTTCGTTTGTCTTACTACGATTGTTACAAATTTCATTAAACAATATTAGATCAGTGTAGTGGAAAGAGAGGAAACCCATTCTTAGTCGCAACCGATCGTTCGCGTAAACGCTCCGAATGGTCCGGAATCGAAGACGCTTCAGGCTGCAAACGTTCGCTGAAACAAAACGCCGAGCAAGGCGTGAAACGGGCGACTGCAGCGATTGTTTCGCTTGTTCGTTTTGATTCAAACCGACTGGTTTATCTATGGAGCGTCGCACACGAAACAAGAGAAGTTTGTTTCTCCATGGCGTCGTCGACGCTGGAAAGTTGTGCCACGGAATCGGACGTTAAAGCCCCGGCACATCGATCCGCGTGTCGCGCCTCGTCGTCTCTCTCCCGATTGTCGGTCCCTTCTTTTACGCGTGTACCCGCCGTCGACGCGAAATCGATTATGAAAATACACGGAGGAATTCTATGGAGAAAAAGGTTGGCGTGTCGTTGGACCGAGGCGCGCAGCACCGGAAGCGACTTTCTCGTACGACATTTTCCTTGGACGCTTTCACGGTCGCGCGGCTGCTTTCTTTGAACTCGGCTGTTCCAGCGCCGGATAATGGTGTTCTTTCGAACTTTCAGACCGAGACGCAACTTTGAAAATCAGTCTGCCGCTCTTCTATAGCTCGATAGCGGAGTGAGAAATAGAAAATACGGAGGGCTGAAAGCACGAAGAAAGCCAAGTTCACCTATATTGGCACGGTCCCCCGATCACGCGACCGATTCATACGTCCATGGTAACATAATACCGCGTGGCTTTATTTGCAGAGCATGTCGGGAAAGCCCTCGGAAATTTCGTCTTTCATATCAGGGCCGTGCACGGGTCCGCGAGTGCAATATAGTTCAGGAAAGGGAGAAACGATAGGAGAGGAGGGGAGCTACATGCACAGAGAAGGGGCAAAAGGTAGCGAAATTCAAAGCAAAAGCGAGTTACGAACAAATAAGGAAAACGTATAAGGTTAAATTCGTTTCATTCTTGCTGGGATGGCAAAGGCGTCGAATGAAAGGGGGTGGTGGTTGAAAAAATTTACATCGCCGTTGCGAAATATCTTGAAGAACCTTTGCGCTGGCCCGTGCACATTTCTCTCTCTCTCTCTCTCTCTCTCTCTCTCTCTTCCTCATTTCTTCTTCTATTTCTCTTCTCTCTTAGTCAGGTGTGTAGGTGTACGTGCACAAGCCTCGCCTGCGTACAACCCTTTGCCCTGGCGCCCTTGCTTTAATTTCAAACAGCGTGTCGGTAATTCCCGCATCGCAGCCCTGAAAAGTCTGAACCGTAAAACATCTCTCTGTTTTTCTCCGACCTCACGTTCTCTCCTTCTTCTTCTCTGATTCTTGCCATCTCTCCGTTGCTTTCCGTTCCTCTGACCTCTGTCTCTTTCTCACGTCGATGCCGTTGCACCAGGCAGATCTTGAAAATTCACAGTTCCGGTGTCGAAGAGAGAGAATTCTCGCAAGGCAACGGTGGATTAAGGGATTAAAGGATGCGTGCTAGGGCTTTGACGTTCTCATTCTCACTTCTCTCAGCGTTTTACGACAGGAGCATCGCTTTCCAAATACCCTTTTTCTTTGCCCTCGTCCTTGCCCCCGGACGAACCTGTCCTTCCACTTCTATTTCTCTCGCTCTTTCGTCACCTCTTGGTCTGTCTCGTCTATTTCTCTACGCTCCACCCTGCGTATAACACGGACGGCGTATAACGGCGACGGGAGTGGTTCAACCTTTGCCTCTCTTTGAACCTTCCACTCTCCTCTTCGAATCGACTTTGCTCGTTCCGCGCGTTAATGTTTTACCGAAACGAGATCTATATCTCAAAGCATACACGTGCTACCGATGCTACGAATCGGATCCGAGGAGAAACAACCGCGTGCACACGTATCACGAATCGTTAGCTCGTACTTTCTGTGGCAACTCGACGAAAGATCGACGATCAAACCCAAAGGACTGGCGGATCGTTTGAGAAGCCAACGGAAGGATCGCGTCGCGGCTCGTAAAGCGATTGCTAATCGCACCGGTAGACGCGAAAGGAATTGCAGATCGAGAAACACGCGATTCCTCTTTCTCCGCTTTCGAGAGTTTATACCGCGACGGGGCTAATAAACGAGTCGACGAGTATTGTGCAAGGCTCGAGAGAACCTGAGAATCTTACGATCGGTATCGTTTCCGATAAGGATTGATGATAATCAATTCCGGAACGGTCGAGTGGATCTCATTTGCAAGGTTTTTGATATCGAAAAGTGTCTCCGTTGCGACGATTCTTACGCAGAAATCCACTCGTCCTGCTAACAATCGATTCTTTCGCCGGCAATCCCCGATAATTACCCCTGTTAATTACCGTTGGCGTTCAATCGTCCAATCAGCAACCCGGGTCACCGAGATATTACCGCCAGAGAATATGGAAACGGCTTTATGAATACGACTGTAACGGAGGGTCGCGTCTTTCGATCAAAGGGCCGAGACGCTGCCAAAGGCGGACACAGATCCCGTACAAACGATCGCGCAATTAAACGTTTAATTGCGCCTACAAAGCGTAAACTGTTACCAAGCCGAGGATGCTGCGGCGAATGTTCGATGAAAGAACCGGGGAATTTGGATCGAATTCCTTTTGTCGGGACGAGGCAAGGGTGAGAAAGTTGAAAGGAAGATAATTCGTCTTGGTATCGGACTAATTCCCACTGGTTATCTAAAATCGGAATGGTTACGCTTAATTTAACGACGAATTCGGCCGAATAATAGCGTCTGATTCGGTATAAAAGTTTGTCAAAATGCTGCTTTCCTTATTGAAACTGAAGACCGATAAACTCGTCGTAACGGCAGATTTTCAGCACGATACGGAATTGCTAAAAATTCATCAAAATGTTGCTTTTACGATAAATGATATGTCTATTTACTTTTTTAATATTATTTCAATTATACCCATCGTCGTACGATAAATATATAATTGGATGATTGTACGCGTTAGTAATTTCGACGTTGATGTCCAAGATAATCACCGACCAGAGGCAAAAAGTCGGGGAAATGTATCTTTTTTTTTTATAATTATTCGAAGCATCTTATCGATTGCGGTAGAAAATCGCTTCCTCGGCAGCCGGAGGCAAGCGCGAGAAAGTTAACCGGGAGGATAATTAGCGAACCGATCCAGCCAGCCAGTCAGCCACGTGAATTCGTATTAACAGTCGGTTGGCTAAATACCTGGCATTGTCGAGCGTATTCGGGAACTTGTGTATCTATACGTACACGGTTCGTATTACTATCTGCGGTCGGGAATAGTGGTAGATGTGGGATCCAATCGGGACATTGCCTTGGGGCAACCCGGGGATCCCCTCGATCGAGGAGGCGTCAGTCGTGAACCGTTTCATTGGTTCCCGCCACACGTGCACGCGTGTGCAATGTGCA